CAATGACCTTACTTCCCAGGATACCATCGAAGCACTGAAGGAACATTTCAGCAGACATGATATTCCAGCAAAACTGGTGACTGACTATGGTGTCCAATACACAAGCAAAGAATTTGAGACCTTTGCCAGAAGCTACAACTTTGAACATGTCCTAGTGAGTCCCAAGTATCCCTGTGCAAATGGAGAAGCAGAAGCAGAAGCAGCAGTCAAAACAGTAAAATCACAATGGAGGAAAAACAATGACAAGAACAAAGCACTTCTAGAGTATAAAGCAACCCCAATCCAAGGGATCAACCTCTCTCCGTCTCAACTCTCCATGGGACGTAGGCTAAGGACAACACTACCAGTAGCTTGTGGTCTGCTAGAGCCTGAGGCACACAACATCAAAGAGATAAGAGCAAGAATGAAGTATGGCAAAGAGAAGCTGAAATACTAGCATGATCGCCGAGGTACTAAAGAGTTGCCCCCGCTTAAGCCTGGTGATTTTGTTAGAGTGAAACCCGAAATGGGATCAAAGGAATGGAAAGCAGCGACAGTTGTGCAACAACATACATCACCCAGATCTTACATAGTCGATGTAGGGGGCCGAAGAATGGGACGAAATAGAGTAGCACCAAGAACAGACTCCCAAGTCACATGCAGGGTATCAGAGCTGTCATGCAAACATCGAGGAGGCAGAGACAGATCCTGAGAAACCATGTGTAGTGCCGCATGCAGTGCCACCACCCATGCCAGACACACGCATGGAGAAGCTACCATTAGATTACCAGTCAGACCAGTCAGTCGCAAGGAAAAGCCCAGCAAGAAAGATACCGCCTTCACCTGAAGTAGCAGCGACTAGGGGCTTGACCCTGTACACAACTCGATGTGGCAGACAAGTCAAGAAGCCAGTGAAACTAGACCTGTAATTAATTTTCAGAGTTGGACAGGCATTGAAAACGTAGCAATAACAGACACTGTTAATTGTTTAAACACTTTCTGTTTCTGTTCAGTTACTATATATAAATTTGTTGTTGTTGATATTATCAAGAGAGAGAAGGGGGGATGTTATGTATACCGCTGACCTCATGTAGGCATAGCATGATGTAAAACACGTGTGTTTATTAACTCCAACATGGCGGTCGAGTGTTGATATGTTACAGTGACTGACTGACTTGATTTGAGATGGCGGGATGTTTGAGCCAACTGGGATTTCACGGTATTCAGCTATCCTTTCGCTTCCTTCCAACTTTGAATGTGTTTGGAAATCAACACCATAGTTTCATTTAGTATGGCGCAAGTGCATTGGATCGTTCAGAGCTCTGTTACCGAGCAATTCAATGATCGAACGAAACAGCTGACAGACCTGAATAGCAGACCTGGCAGATTGTACCGACCCAAGGTTGTTTCAGAGCCACCTCAGTCACATGTATGTAGCATGCATTTAAATTTTGGATAATGGTAATTTAATAGATTTATTTTAATTTAAAATTTGTACTTATTATTTTTACACGGTTGTTAACTAGTCATAGCTGGCATTTGTGCTGGGTTTGAGTCCAATTGGTGATTGGAGCATTACCTCTTGCAGGGGTGTCGATAGTTTTTCAAGTAAGCTGGGAAATGAAAAAAGTAGCTGGGGTTTTAAGAATCTGCTTGGGGAAGAAGTGGGAAGGGGTAGGAATAGAAATTTTGGGAACAAAAAACCTTGCTGTAGATAAGGACAACAAAACTTTGAAAAGGTTTTGAAAATCAATCCTAATTTTATTCTGACAAAACAT